AATTAAATTTTAATATTTTAAAATTAAATATGAATAAATAAAAAAAAATTATTCTATAATATAAATCATTTATCATAAATATAATTTATATATTTAAATATATTATTTATTTTTATATATAATTTATTATAAACTTTACTTATATATAAATATTAATTATGTTGATGTTCTAAAACATATAATGTGATTACAATTTTTTTTGTTGTTGCATTTTTTACATATATCTTCTATTGAGAACCATTTTGTTCAAAATGTATGTAAAATTAGACCAGAGTATTTCTTGTTTATATATTATTATTATATAATGTTTGTTTTATTAATATTAAGTGTTTAGATGCTTGTAAAATCAGACGCAAGTATTACTTGCTTATTGTTGTGCCCAAAGAGTGGGTATCCTCCAAAGTCCCACATTGGAGAGTCTTGAAGGGAGGAATGTTGTGCCCAAAGTGTGTGGGTATCCTCCAAAGTCCCACATTGGGTAGTTTTGAAGGGAGGAATGTTGTGCCCAAAGTGTGTGGGTATCCTCCAAAGTCCCACATTGAGTAGTTTGTGTTGTGCCAAAGTGTGTGGGTACCTTCCAAAGTCCCACATTGGGTAGTTTGAAGAAGGGTAGTGGTAGAGTACTACTATAAATAAAGGGTGAGGGTTTGTGTTTACTCACCACAACAACATAGGTTCCTTTGAGTGTATTAGGGACTTGGGTAGTTGTGTGCAAGTGTAAGGTTTCCAAGTTTTTCCAGAAAACTTGTGTGAGAGGTTTTGCAATTTTGTCCTTGTAAAAATTGCTAGTAAAAATTTGTTTGTGGATGTAGGCAAGAAGTGCTGAACCACGTTAATTCTTGAGTTTGTTTTCTTTAATTTGTTTCTCTTGTGTGTGCTTCCGCTGTTGCAGTTTTTATTTTCCCTCTGGTACCCAACACTTATATGTCATTATGAGAATTATGTCTCAAATTTATTAAGCGCGTGTTTGAAATTGCTTTATCAATCAATTAAATGTACAACATATGATACAAAAGTCACACTTTTACAAGTTTCTAGACTTGTGTTCGGTCATACGTTATAAAGACATGATTTTTTTACTTCTAAACCAAAGTTACTTGTGGTAGTTTAATTTCTCCATTTTTTGACGTGATTAAGAAAACGCAGTGTGAAAGAAACATACAATTCATCTATTATAAATTTAATATTAAAATAAGAAGAAAAAAAAACATGAGTGAATAATGTGTATCCAAACACACCATAAATAACGTGAATTTTCTTGTCACAACTAAACACACATGTAGACATCTATTTCAATGAAACTTCAAACTTTGATTTGCACATTAGGAGTGACTAATTTATTTCCAAACTCAACTCCCAATCCCATTGATTTTATATTTAGTTTAAGTGATATAAATATATATATATATATATATATATATATATAAAAGGAAACTAATATTTATTTTATATTTTTTTAATAATTAATTAAAAGCAGAAATTAATATAAACACTTTAATATATTAAGGGCCAGTTTAATTATTAGTTTTTGTAAATGATGAAATTACATGATTCTAAAAAATAAGAAATACAAGAGGTAATAGGACAAAAAAGAAAAAAGAAATCTAAAGTGATTGTTGTAAAAAAAAGAAGGTAATTTGTAATAGGCTTAAATATGTTTTTAGTCCCTCAAATTTAGGGTAAATCTATTTTTGGTCCCTCAAATTTAAAATTGTTATTTTTAGTCCCTGTAATTTAAAAAAAATTTAATTTAGTCCTTATATTCAAATTTTGTTAAGAAATTTATCAAACATTATTGCATAAAATCTACCTATTGGTGTCCCTATTAGTGAAAATATTACATTAAATCCGGTTGATATTGCATAACTATCTTAATTAGTCATTTTCAAATATGTTATTGGTGACCTAAAGGACTAAAATAAGATTTTTGAAAATTACAGGGACTAAAAACAACAGTTTTAAATTTGAGGGACCAAAAACAAATTTATCTTAAATTTGAGGGACTAAAAATATATTTAAGCCTTTGTAATATTATTCCATGTCCCTCCCTGATGTGACTTTGGGGAAGTACCAGCCAGGCATTGCATTGCATCATTGCATGCAACCCAAGGCAGCTAAACACAACAAAGGTAGGTTCAGAGGCCTTTTTTGCCCTTTCCATGTCAATGTCCCTAAACGGCAATGCCACAGTACACTGCTTCTGCTGAATTTCAGACAACAGTTTCGTTCAGTCTCTTCCCCAATCAATCCTCAGGTGCTTTCCACTGCCATAAAACTAATTATTTATATATGTACATCAAGTAACTATTCAAAATTTATTCATTAATTTCCTTTCTTTAACTTTAATTAACTTTGTTTTATTTCCATCATAGCTTATTCATTATAATTTCTGTTAGTTTAAACACTAGAGACTAGTCCTTTAACTAAAGATTTAGTTTGAGTATTCCATATAGAAATATAAGCATGAGAAGAAGTTTATATCCTTAAATAAATTCATCTGACTTAATTTAAATTAGTAAGACCAACACAAATGATGACCATTAAGTACTACTAATTTGAAAAGAAAAATTTAATTAATTTTATCACTTTTATTGTTTGAAATAGGTGGTAAAAATATTTGTATCCCTAAATATTTATGAATAAAATTCATCACGAATAATAAATGGATATTTATAAATAATAGATACAGATATTTTTTTACTTGTTTATAAACGAGATGAAAATGAGTACAATAATATTTATATTTATAGATAATTACTAAATAATATTACTTAAGTATTTATATTTTTATCTTAAATTTTTTTATATTATTTTAAATATTTCAAAAAAATTATCATTAATTACAAGTTTAAAAATTAAATTCAATTATTTATATTTAATATTTCAATAAACTTAACATCAAATATAAGCTTAAAATTATTTATCATATTTTTTTCTAAAAATAATTCATAAATATTTATGAATATTTGTAAATATTTATAAAATTTACAGATACTTATTAAACAAATACCTACACGGGTATGAGAGTAGTATAGATATCCTACTATCCGCTTCTATAGACCCATTGCAATCTCTAATCCAAGATTTTTGTATTAGAAAATTACATATTAAACTTCAATTAACTCTGAGTAGATTTATATAAAAAAAAAATTTATAAACATAGTTATGCTTATAAATAAAGTTTTAAAAATATTAATTAAAGATTAATTTATATATATAATTTTTGTTGGTCAATTATTATTTTTTTTTAAAAATCGATAGTAGAAGTAATAGTTAGCTCTGTGTTTCAAAATAGGTTTGAGCCTTGGTTAGATAAGTTCATTTATAAAGATATACAACTCTCTTAATACTTATTGTTATTTATAAAATTCAAATTAAAGCTTAATTTTGAAGAAAATAAACTTTTTTTTATCAGTTCCGGCATTGTAATTGCTATCTAATTTTACATATACGGTTTATATATGGACCAATTTATGTGTAGATACATACACAGACGCGGTTTCAGTTCATCAACTTATAATTTATTTTTGCTTATGAAATTTTTGTAGGGCCCAGTGGGGCTAGTTGATCAGTGAAAGTTTGTCTGGGAGTGAGTCAGAATATGCGAAATAAGAGAGAGAGAGAGAGAGGTATAGCTGTTTCATGCTGCTTACACACATCCCATGTCGTTATGTGGCTAAGGATTGGGTCCACAGAGCCGTAGGCCTTTCTCTCTCTCTCACACATCAATTTTTCATATTGAAAATTTTCATTTATTGCTGAAAAGCATTGAGCACAATCTGGAAAAAAGTTTCAAGAGAGAAAAATAAATAAAATTAAGTAAAATGGTGTGTGCCTATGTGTTGGTGTATCTGCATGACACCAAATCAGTGGAAGAGACTCACAAAACCACTACCTCAAAATTTCTCATTTAAAACAAGCCAACTTGGGAGGAAATTAACATATCAAGTGGCCATGGGGGGCTGATTTCCCTTTTCTCCCTCTTCAATTCCTATCTCTCTCTGCTTCAAAAGTTTTCTTTTTTTCTTCAAAAGTTCTTCCCTTTATGTTTCCCTTCCACTTCTCTGTAAGGTCAAAGGGAATTCAGATTTCTTTGCCTTTGAGCTTTGAGATTGGGGATAAGAATTGAAGGACTCAACAACTGCATGTGGGTTTTCCAGAATTCTGATTCATGTGTGAGGTTTGGAATCAAGGAGGGAAAAGAAACACTCACTTCCTCTGAAGCAGAAGATATTGTTGACACACACTTTGAGAAGATTTAAGGTTAATTATATATAGAGGGTTTGCTATTTATAAGACATGGCAGCACCTTTTTCTGCAGCGTCACTCTTTGGAATCAGAGAAGAGGATCAGAATCAGACGAAGCAGCAGCATTCCTCAACACCATCATCATCAACCACTCCAGCTGCACCACCCCAGAAGAAAAGGAGAAACCAACCTGGAACACCAAGCAAGTATCTTAAAAATTTTATATATAAAAAGAAAAATTCTAATCTTTTATTCATTTCCCATCAATTAAATGAAATGATTTTCTCCTTTTCTGGTTTAATGTCTGCAAGCATTTATTAGGCCACCCGTTATTAGTATAATTATTTTCCACTGATGCAATTCCCTATCTGGGATGGGGAACCCTAATTCCTAACTTTGAAACATAAATGTGAAATGGAATATAGAAATTAAATGGGTATAGCCGTATGGTATGTCTTTGAGATTAACCTTAGCTTTGGTTTGTCTTCAAGCTTTAACAAAAATTAATTTCTTTCTTTTTATAGTTTTTTCTAATCTTGTGAATTTTCTAATAAATTTGCTTGGCATTATTAAAAAAATGAAAAAAAATTGTTGAATTATTCTGCAGATCCAGATGCAGAGGTGATAGCACTATCTCCAAAGACGCTAATGGCAACAAACAGGTTCATATGTGAAGTGTGCAATAAAGGGTTCCAAAGGGAGCAAAACCTACAGCTGCACAGAAGAGGACACAACTTGCCTTGGAAGCTAAAGCAGAAGAGTACAAAAGAGCCAAAGAGAAAGGTTTATCTGTGTCCGGAGCCCACATGCGTTCACCATGACCCTTCAAGGGCTCTTGGAGACCTCACTGGCATCAAGAAACACTACTCTCGCAAGCACGGTGAGAAGAAGTGGAAGTGTGACAAATGCTCCAAAAAATATGCTGTTCAATCTGATTGGAAGGCACACTCCAAAACCTGTGGCACAAGAGAATATAGATGTGACTGTGGCACCCTCTTCTCCAGGTATGTAATACACTAAAGCTTCACAACTGATGTGCCGAATTAAACAAAAAATTCTTTTACTCATAGCGTGTGTTTGGTTCTATATTTCACATCGAAAAACTATTAAGTATAAGTGTATAACTCTTTCACATGTCAGACATGATTTTATATTATTTGTTAACGGATTTTCAAACACACATGCATTTAACATTTTTCAGTTTTGCAATTGTGGTTGCTTGTTAGAGGGTTAGCATGGGTGATGATGCAATAGAGGGAAGAAGTACTAGTGTTTGGTTTGATTTAGGTTAGTTTGGTCTGGGGGTTAAGGCTTATTAATATTAGATTCTTCAAGTGACTATAGAGAGGAAAAGGGCTTAGATGCTTTCTTTTTCTATTGAGTTTGGTTTGTTTCCAATTGATTCAGATTCTGTCCTCTCTTTCCCTCTCTCGTATGGTTTCCTTTGTCATCTTTCTCTTATATTTGGTACGATGGCCAAGTGAAGTGGAAGGAAACATCCCCCCACGTGAATAATCTCTCAAAATCAGAAAAATGGCACACGCAAGAACAGTTTACGCCACCCTCCTCTCTCTCTCTCTCAGTCACAAAAAATAAAAGATAGAAAAAATAATTATAAAATTAAAACAACTCCAATTTTCTCATTTTACATAAAAAAAGGAGTACAGCTGTTTTTGCCCATATTTATTTTATTTTATAATGGTGGCTTGATTGTTTACACTTGAAAATCTTATATACTTATTTCTTACACATATCTATTTGTGTTTGGAAGCAAATTTCTCTCTCTTTACATTCATGCATGAGTGTAGGGCTAACAGGAAGTGTTTTCCTTTATTTTTCATATTCACGTGCTGTTTTTTTGGTGTGTTGAAGAGAAGGGGCCTAGTGCAGTGTGGTATTGTTACCCGGTTTGTTCTCTTGTGAATTGGCAAGATGTGTTCAGTATACTGCACTCTTGCAGGTGCTCCTTTTTATGATAACGTCAGGGCCTAACAAACTCCCTTATTTTCTGCTTCTTTTCTTTTTTCTTTCACATTATTTCATGTTAAACTTAGTGGTCTTGCTTCGTTCACAACTTCAGTCAAAACAAGTACGCATATTTTGGTACCTAACAAATGAACAGAAGGAAATTATATATTATATTAGTATATTATACATATATTTTCCCAGACATGTAGAGAAAATTTTTAATCCGTTTGAACACAAGCCTTCAAGTGATTATAATTGATAACTTTCGCAAACTTTATGCACATTCTCTGGTTTCTTAATTTATTCAGCATCAGTTTCTTGAAATGGAGCATTTAATTAATTTTGACTAGTCTTTTAGTCAAGTTTTGGTTAAGTTATTTCACCTACATCGTTCTTATCTAAGTTGTCTTTTTCGCCGTTTTAACATATTTTCTTAATCACCTGAAGTGTCATTCACATTGTTCTTTTCTTTAACTACTCGTTTCATATGTACACGCAAATATTTGTCCTCGGGCTCATTATGATTTATTATTGTCTTTTATGTTAAGATTTTCCTTTTAGTGATTTTGTTGTCTTTTACTAGGGAATGTACCAAGTCCTCCTTCTAGCAATCTATCTAAATTTCAGGGATCTGTGACAGTAGTAACAGTTTTCATAGCCAACTTATTTAGGGGATTTCACCATGTGATTATTTATTTACTTCTTAAGATTAAATATAGTAAAAATATCTTATCATTTTCCAAGAGTTAGTTCAACTATATGCATAACATTTGACTAAACTATTTGTTATTTATTTGAATAATTTAAATTTTTATACCAATTCTAAATCCCATTTATGAAGGAAAAGGATAAATGAGAGTGTAGGGATAAGTATAAAATAATTGAGTGTGATACAAACATTATTCAAACTCAATTATAAGAACTTATCACATAACGGCAGTTATATGACTAAACCGACAATGAATTAAATAATATTTTAACAATACATAAAGTCATCAGTTTCTGTAATTCTCTAGTCAATTATTTATTTTTTTAAAATGTTTTGTTAAATAAATATGAACCTATTTTTGATGATGTTTCTATGAGGAACTTTTGGAATATCACAGAGATATTAATTTAATTAAACCTTTTCAGTTACTAGGCAAAAAACAACATTTTATTTGTAATATTTGTAAATTGGTAAAAGAAAAAAAAATGGCCCCTGACTCAATTAATATGTAAATAAATATAAATTAAACTATTGAATTATCTTAAAAGAATCTGGTAAGTTACTATACAAATTACAATTTTAGCTGCTCAACCAAACTCTTCTTTCACCCACTTCTATTTTAATATATAGTTTAGAGAAATTTTACGGAACTTTGAGGTTCGATATATTATTATATTGAGGAATTCTATTTCTTCAACTATATATTAGTCCAAAAACTAACTGTACTAAAAATTTTAAATTTCTGAGTAACGCTGTACTTTATTATTACCTGATAATTGTGATATATATGTCAAAGGATTAATTGTTTGAGATGTATTTACTGCAGACGTGACAGTTTCATCACCCACAGAGCCTTTTGTGATGCATTGGCACAAGAAAGTGCAAGGGAGCCACCCAACCTGAGCAGTGCCATAAGCAACCAACTATATGGGAACAGTAACAACATGTCCTTAGGCTTATCCCAAAACATGTCCCTCCAAGACCAAAACACACAATCTAGTGACCTATTGCGTTTTGGCAGTGGTGCAAGAACTGGTCAATTTGACCACATTCTGCCACCAACCCTTGCCTCACCCTTCAGACCATCCTCACACCAAACCATGCAAACCCCTCCATTCTTCATGCCATCAGAATCAAACCAAAACCAAAGCCAAAACTACCATGACCACCAACAAGGGTTAATCTCAAACAAGCCTTTCCAAGGACTAATACAATTATCTGACCTCAACAACAATATTAATACCCCTTCTGGCTCCAACCTCTTCAACCTTCCCTTTCTATCCAACCGAGCCAACAACAACAACAACAGCAACTTCTCTGATCAGGAACAACACTTCAACACTACCGAAGGCTCCAATTTCTTCTCAGAAAGCACCATCATTGGCACTGATGATCACCAAACAAGCTCCACCACTGCCCCTTCTCTCTTCAGCACCTCTCTTCAAAACACCACCAACTTTTCCCACATGTCCGCAACCGCACTGCTTCAGAAAGCTGCTCAAATGGGTGCTGCAAGTTCCAGCAACAACAACACCAACACCAACACCAACACCACCAACACCAGTGCCTCCTCTCTTCTCAGAAGCTTAGCTTCCAAATCTGATCACAGGCCACTCAGTCCTGCAAACTATGCAACCATCTTCAACAACAGCGTTCAAGAAATGATGAACATTCCGGGGTTTGAAGCGTATGATCATGGCATGAACAAAGAACCGAAACTGAGCGTTGGAGCCTCTGATAGGCTCACGAGGGACTTTCTAGGAGTTACACAACAACAACAACAACAACGTGGGTTCAACATGAGTTCTTTGGAAGCAGAGACAAATAATGCTGCGCCGTCAGGTCAATCTTTCGGAGGTGGAGGGAACTTTCAGTGAAGTACAAAAGGTACGTTAACAGATATAGTTTCTGACCTTTCACAAAATCATTATTGTCTACATAATTAAAGTATGATTACGCACTAAATATTGTAATGCATGATGATCTTTTTTTATTTTTTTTAACCATTTATAAATGCATATCTTAAAAATATAAATTCAAATTAAAAAATGTTTTTAATTATTCTATTTTGATATTTTATAAAACTTTTTCTTTTTTACATATTTGTCTATCTTAGACCTTTTGACTGAAGTTAGACTATTTAACACGTGATAAAATACATTAAATAAAGCTTCATAAGTGCCTTCCGATAAAATTTTCACTAGACAACTCACTATTACTTAATATTTTTTTATGTATAACATCATTCGTTACAATTATACCTCTCTCTCTCTCTGTCTTGTTTTTCTTCTCTGTCGAAGTTGTAAACATTTTCATGAAACTGTGAAAGAATATTTTTGATTCGAAAAAAAAAAATGGGGCATCAGCTTTTCAAATTTTCTTTGAGAAAAAGGGGAGTGTTCTGATCCTGACATGTTGTCTTGCATGGAGTGGACAGCGATGTGTTGCAGAATTTTGTTTCTTCTATTGTCTTCTCCTTTTCATTTCGATTCATTTTTGGATATTTTAGTATATGGGTTGGCAGAGTCACGAGTGCCCTTCAACCTAATTGGAGGGGCATGGCCGAACATATCCATGCTCCTATCAACTTTGATGCCATCAATTTTCGGTCTCTTTCTTATGCGTCATTTTCTGTGTTTCAAGTCACAATTAAAGCCAGCTTAAAAATAACGCCATGAATAAAGAAAAATCAAAATACAAATAAACTTTAATTTTATATTGTTATAAAAATTTTATTCACTAAAAGCCACAACTTAATTATTTGATTATATATTATTTTATTTTTTTGGTTTTATATAATGCATGTGAAAAATCAATAAACAATAAATAACAATAAAGAAATTTTAATTTTATTTATTAGAAAGTATAAAATTGAGATATTCTTTTTTGTCATATTATTAGACAAGTATATTATATTTTAAAATTTTAAAATTCTATGAAAAATAACTAAAAAAAATAACTAATTATTTAGTTCATTAATCAATACTATTTATACTGCTATATATATATTAATTTAGATTTAAATTAGTTTGTTTAAAAATTTGAAAAGTGGTGAGAATAATAAATACACTATTAATTGTTAAAAAGGATTAATGATATTTTATCATTTAAAAAAAATTCTATCAATATGTGTTGCGTCTAGTAATAGGTAGTCAAGTTATATATATATATATATATAGGCATAGGCAATATTATATATATTAAAATATTCATCTAGAAGTAACACATCATAGACAGTGTCTCCTTGATAGAGAATCCCACATTTATAATGTGGATAGTACAATTACCTCCTATAAAAGGCATCTATAAAATAATAATTCATTTATGAGAGAAACTTAAATTGATGAATTTTAATTTTATAATTAGAATTATTATATTTAAAATACATACACTAAAATAGGGCTATTTCAAATTAATTAGAGGGATTTTTTTTTTATCAGTAATGTAATAATAAATTTATAGGTAGATAGATAGAATCTTCTATAGTAGATTGATAGAGTAAATACTAAAGAGTGAAGTTAGTCCCTAAAAATAAAAAATAAAAATATTACATGAGACGTTACTAAAAATTGTGATCAATCGGTTAAAGGAGTATATATAACGGATTTAGGCACTAATCTATCTGATAAAATTCATAATTAAAAAAATCATATTTTTAGGGGTGCACGTCATAGTTTTTTTTTTTTTTTTTTCCTGTAGGAACTAATATGTTTAATTCTACTCTTTTTTTAAACTAAGGTCATGAGGAATTGCTTAATATTTTTCATTTTAATCACCAAAATTTTATTAAAATTAAGAATGCTATATATATAGAGAGAGAGGATTACATTACATCAGTTGATATAAATATCGATATACTTTTACTATTCAATAGTTATTATAAATATATTAAAATAAACTCTTGTTTATTTCAACTTAATTTGAAAAAATAACGTCTATTTGTTTAAAAAAAACTTGGTGAAAAGGTTTTTTTTTTTTTTTTTAATTAAAATATGTATATAAAGTGCTGAGCATTTTTTCATTGCTTATGTTGAATTAATTGGTAAGATTTTGTATAAAGGATTAGTAAATTCGTACGGGCTTTTTGCATTTGGGGTGATGATTAATTTAAAGTAGAGTTAATGATGATAAGTTTATTATAATATATTTTATTTTTTATATATAAAAATGTTGACAAACGGATCCATGGGATGGGAATGAAATGGAGAATGGAGTGAATATTTTAACAATTTGTATATATTACTCAAATTTGATCAAAGTGTCCATCTGATCAATTTGATCAGACAGCCAGTTATTTATTTTCATTATTCAAATCTCAGAAGAAAAAGATAAAAAAAATAAAAACAGATCTAGCCTCCTTCTATCTGAGATTAATTAAGGGTACCGCAAACCTTTAGTGTCAGTCAATATATTTTGTTTTATCTCGTGTCTTTTTATTTATTTATTTATTATTTATGATTCCATATTTTTGTCCCTCATCGTAGATAATATCTCTTTACATGTCTTGAGATTTGTTGACTAAATTATCTAATAGGACTAATTTATTTTGAAGTCGTTTATAATTTGCCTTAATGATATACTCTACTTTTTTTTTTACACCTTTATATTTATTTTGTTTTCTTGCAATTTTTTCTTTTTTATCTTCAACTATTTTACACTTCCATGTGAAAAAAAAATAGCCTTGACTAAATAATAGTTATTTTTCTTAATTATAGTCTTATTAAAAAAAACCAATAGTTTATAAGATTTAAAATAATAAATAAGAGAGATAAAGATGCATTAAAAGGTTATAAATAATTATAATATAAATAAAATACACTTAAATATGTTTTAGTCCTTTAAGTTTAGGATAAATTTATTTTTATCCCTCAAATTTAAAATTATTATTTTTAGTCTCTATAATATTTAAAAAATTTATTTTAGTTCCTTAAGTCACCAATATTATATTTGAAAATAAAAAAATTGAGATAACTATGCACCATCAACTTAGTTTAATATGATATTTTCTCTAACAAAGATATTAATAGGTAGATTTTATACAATAATATTTTATAAATTCTTTTAAAAAATTGAATATAAAGATTAAAATAAAATTTTAAAAAATTACATGATTAAAAAAATAATTTTAAATTTGAGAGACTAAAAATAAATTTATCTTAAATTTAATGAACTAAAAACATATTTAAGTTATAAAATATTAATTAACTTAATTAATATGTGCAAAGAGATAATATATCTGATAGTCCTATATTCAACAATAAAACCAGGTGTTTTTAAAGCTCAACCAATGATTTAATCATAGTTAAATTTTGATTAAATCGACATTGATAAAATAATAATAATAATAATAATATTTAAATAATATATAAAATAATATTACATAAATATAATATCATAATTTTATAATACTAAAATTAAAATAAAACATCATTTTATATATATATATATAACTAAATTATATCTTTATAAGAAAATTATTAAAAATAGTAAATAATATAATTTATTATAATTTATAATTTTATTAAATATATTTATTTATTTATCATAAAACGTATTCAAAATAATTTTAAAAAATAATTTTTTGAAAAAGAGAGGTTCAACCCGACTTCTGAAACCATTTTAAATTGATTCATCCAATTTTTAATCGATTTTTTCACACTCCAATTTTGTGGTTCTTTCAGATTAATAGTCTAACCAGTTTTGGATCCAACTAATCTAACGGGTCCAGTTTTTACGGCACAAGTAAAACCTGATTCAAATTCAATGAATTGGAGGATCATGCATATTGCTCGATCATAAAGGCATTCTATTCTTTGTCTTAAATAACTTCCATCATCTCATCTTAATATTACAAGTTGAATGAACTGCAAACAGTTTACTGAAACCTTAACCACGTTTTTAAGTGTGGTGACATGAGCAAGAAACAAAGCTTTGAGAAGCTTACTTAGTTTTATTTTTCGAAACTTTGTGTTTTGTTATCATGATAGTAGTCTAATTATTATCTGTTAACAATTACATTTATTGGAATTTTGGTTTTTGCAGGAATGTCAACTTGTTCCATTGAAAATTGACTAATTAGTCCATCAGTTTCGGTTTTCGGGAGCAACATATTTTGTGGAAGCATATTGGAGTTTCTGTATAGAGCTAGCTAGAATCAAGATTTTCAAACAAATGAAAATTGACTTCCTTGCATCATCATACTGTGGAAGCATAAGCAAATTTGGTATTAGGATTTCAAACAAAACTTGTTCCAAAATTTTCATGGTATAACTCAGTAGATTTTCAGCTTTCGAAAAAAGAAAAAGAAAAAAAGATAATTAAGTAGATTCTGTTATTAGACAATGCTTTGATATGTAAATGGCCAGGAATACCAGTCATAACGCTTTATATGCCATTGCGATATATATAAAGCAACTTCGTTTCTCTATATATCTAGAAAGGAATCATTCTTAGCCGAACCAATCCAAATTAGGAGGCTTTAGGAAGTCATTAGTAGAGAGGTGCAAAGCGTATTCGTCTCGAGCATATTTTGGAATAATGGAGAGAAGAAATTGCTACTAAAATGAAAGAAAAGAAAATGGCATTTAACATGGCCTAATACATGGTTGGTTTTCTTTCCTACCTGTTTTTCGATTTGAAACCCCCTTTTTTTATTTTACAATTTTATATTTATATTTGAGAGAATTTTTATTTAGGTACATAATTTAGTAGTTTAATAATTTGGAATTCAATAATTATAAAGCACGCATACTAAATATATTCAATAAAAGAGAAAATTCAAACACAATTTCAAATAAATAATATAAAAATAAATATCAAAAGTTGTCCTATGCAAAGGGAAAGTACAATATAAATAATAATACTAGGTAAAGATATATATGAGTGATTTTATATTATACCTTAGATTTAAATGGTGGATAATACATATACTTAGCTAATTTATTCTGGGATTTAGATATTTATTGGAAAAATAGGGATAGTAACGATGGAGCTCCAATACTAAATCTAGACCAACATTTAGAAACTTATAAGCTAGTACGACAGGTATATGAATGATTTTAGGTTATATCTCAAACGACAGGATTTACAGGTTTGAACATTGCGAAAAATTTAAGTTTTATTCACTAGATATTAGTAATGTATACAGTGAAAAAAAATTATTCTGTTAAGTCAAACTCATAATTTACTTTTTATATGATATCTAAGTCATCAATGTGGTGTTAATTGGAATAGTTTCTTACATTTTTACAAACTTCCGGTGTCACTTTAGACAAGAACTGTGTGGCAGGTGTGTTTAAGAGATAGGGGGATTGTAAAAGAGGTTGAATCAAATAATACGGATTGGCTAGCACCTATAAACTGAAGGAGAATATAGCAACACACTTTTTAATATATTTTCTTTTTTAAGCAATGGCAATGAAAGAACCTTGATGTTAAAAGGCAAGTCCATATACGGTGGAAAGGTTAGGAAGAGCAACTTTTGGGACTGCAAAATCATGTACATTTTAATGGGGACAGGTGCATGCATGTCTAGATACGTGGGTTTGGATAGTATTGGTCAAAACAACGTCTACGGAAGCTATCTGTTAAAATGTGATACAAACTTTTAGAATAAGCTAGAATATTCTAGAAAAATATATAAGTATATGCTAGTAACTACTAGATACAAATTGTAGAATTATGTAGACAATTATATATAGGTAGAAAACTTTAAAAATAGATATATCTAAAATCTTCTACATAAAACATGAATGTGGTGTTGAGGCCTATAAATATACCTTATATCCAACACTTGTATTCAAACAACTAGTAAGTCATTTCCACTACTCAAATCTATTCCAACTATTCCTCTAAGCTAGTTTCCTCTCAACTAAGTCTATCATTATAAATTTGCCTCCCCATTTTTTCTACCAATCAAATAAGTTTTTACTATTTGATAATTTATAAACTAACAGTGGAACCAGAGCCTAGTTCGGTCATCTACTTGGCGTAGAAATATTACCCCACTACTTCCAAAAATTTTCCAATATTCTACCCATTTCAAAACAAAATTCTAATCCATGGCCAACACCATTCAACCATCATCTATCCCTATTCCCATTTTTAATGGTGAAAATTATGATTTTTGGAGTACAAAAATGAAGACATATTTCACCTTCCAAGATTTATGGACACGATAGAAGAAGGATTTTCTACTCCTGAAGACATCTCATCCCTTACTGTGGCTCAAAAAAAGGAGTTGAAAGAGAACAAACAAAAGAATTCAAAGACGTTATTCATTTTGCAACAAGCTGTGACTGACACAATTTTTTCGAGAATAATGGGTGCAACAATAGCGAAAGAAGCATGGACTACGCTGCAGGAGGAGTTCGAAGGAAGTGAAAAGGTACGTGCCGTAAAATTACAAACTCTACGGCGTAACTTTGAATTGTTAAATATGAAGGAATTTGAGACCGTAAAGGACTATTATTCTAAGATAAAAGAAATAATTAATCAAATGAGAACATACGGGGAAAATATTCTTGACAAGAAAATTGTGGAAAAAATTCTAATTAGTGTTCCCCGTAAATATGATCCAATCGTGACAATGATTGAGCAAACAAAAGTTCTATCTACCTTATCAGTAACAGAGTTGATGGGATCACTTGAAGCTTATGAGAAAAGGTTGAATAGGCATGATGAGGACTCAACTGAAAATTTCTTTCAATCAAAGCTCAAATTATGGTCTCAAAATAAAGATAAAAGGAATAATGGAGAAACTTCTAGAAATAAAGAGAATTCTAGAAATTTCTCTAGAAATTATCGGAATGAATATCCTCTATGCGGCATTTGCAAGAGGACAAATCATGCCGAGAAAGAATATCGTGGAAAGCCACAATGTCGCCATTACAATAAAGTTGGACATGTGAGAAGTATTGTCGCAAAAAAAATAAGCATAAAGCAAACTTTGCTGAAGAGAAAGATGGTGAGCAACATCTTTTCTATGCTAGCCAAGATTCTAATAGTGAAAACAAGTGAAAATTGGTACTTGGATAGCGGTTGCAGCAATCATATGGCCAAAGATGCAAGCATCTTCAAGGATATTGACGAATCCGTCAAAGTGATAGTCCAAATAGGGAACGACACTGTCATTGAATCAAAAGGAAAAGGCACAGTTATGGTGGAGACGAAGAAAGGTACAAGACTTATTACTAATGTTCTACTAGTTCCCAATCTCAAAGAAAATCTCTTGAGCATTGGCCAAATGATGGAGAAAGGTTATACTCTCCATTTCGAAGGAGACACATGTAAAATATATGACAATAAAAAACTAGAGATTGGTCGAGTAAAAATGGAGAACAGGAATAGAAGAAGTAGACGACTCATGGCTTTGGCATCGAAGATTTGGCCACTCACTACAAGAAAATTGTGAATTAGAGAGGGAAAGATCCCTCGTAAATCCCTCGCAAATCCCTCGCTAAACAGAATGGCGAGGGACTAGCGAGGGATTTGCGAAGGATCAATCCCTCGCTAAATTCAAGTCGCAAATTAGCGACGGATGCATATCCCTCGCAATTCCCTCGCTACATTCCTTCGCTTTTCCCTCGCAACCAGCTTCGCTAGTCCGTCGCAAATTTGTGCCGCTAATTCTTCGCTGTCGCCTCGCAAATGTAGAACCTAAATTCCCTCGCTAATTGTATTTAATATTTCCTCGCAAATCCCTCGCTAAACCCTCGCAAATCCTTCGCTAAACCCTCGCAAATATGTTCCTCGCAAATCCTTCGCTAATCCCACGCAAATCCATCAAAGCATATGGATTGAGTTCCCTCGCGAATCCCTCGCTAATATCTCGCTTTCCTAATTATATTATTCTCTCATGTATCCCTGTAGATATGTCACTTAATTTGATATTTTAAATAAATCTAAATCAACTACATAATTTTTTTTTAATTTGACATGATTTAAAATAAAAGTTGCATGTAACAATACCTCTTACAAAACCAAATTGTTAAATGTCTTACAAAATCCAACTTGTGCATACTATATCTTAAAGAAACCTAAACTAATCAATGTCTTACAAAAAGAAAAGCTAAATAACAAGTCATCCTAAATAGTAATCAACCTAAGCTAGTAAAATCATCATCTCGTCCTTAATCCTCCCTATGTTGGTTGGTTGATGGTGTTGCTGATGGTTGAACTGCTTGAATTATTTGCCTCATCATCTCTGGTATTTGTGTTTGCAAAAAAGAGGCCAATGCATTATTTATAACAGCAGTGACCCGTTCTTCTATCATAGGCGTAAGATTTGCAGAGGAACCTACAACCTCTGGAGATGAAGCTTGGGTAGA